GAACTTTAGTAAGTTCCTGGGAAGGTTCAACATAGTGGAACCAACAAACCAACCAACCAATTCACCTTTATGCAAACCACACATTTGTACGTGTTGACTTCTCAACACCAACACTTGTGACAGTTTTACGGCGGGAATTCAACTTCTTTGTCGCCTAGTTGGCTGTCCAAATTTACCAGAACAACACTTTTTTTCGTTTTTGCTATCCTCGTGAGGCAAGTGGGCTAAGCTATCAATTTCTGGTGAGAATGAAGGCAAAGTTTCACAAGAATGCTGGGTTGTGAACAAAACTTTCGCCCCAGGCGGGACTAGAACCCGCACCTCTCGCTTTCCGGGCAAGTGCGCTACCAGTTACGCTACCGGGGCACCATTTCATCCCAACTCAGCTTTTCATGGTATACGTACCATAGCTTGTCAGCACTGTAGGCAAAGTATTTCCGTGGACGATTCCTTTAAGGAAATCGCGAATGTGCCTTCAACTGTTCTCCTTTCTTTCCTCTAACTGAACTCCTTTTCTTTCTTTTCACTACTGTAGAATGCATGAAAATTGATATGGAGATTGAATCGGTGCTTCAAAAGCGTTTCAATTGAAATTGAAGTGGGCTATAGCCACGTATGACATTTAACGGCAACTCGTTCCGGAACAAGAACTCAACTGAGTTGGTTTCATTTGCACCTCAAGAACTTTTGAATTCGTGAAAAAACGTAAGCATGAGGTAATTATTCACTGTAAAAAAGACTTAAATAATCTATATTCAATATATTTGACAAACTCACATCCTGCCTGAACAGACATGCCGAGCACTGCAATAGGGCTCCCATTAACTTGTGCGGATTCCACGTGACACTGTTCGCTCGTTCGATACCTGCCAATTTGTAGCGGTGCTCCGGCGACAGCAGCACACCACCGCCCCACGCCGCCTGAAGTAGTACTGTCAGGAATGAACTGCCAGTACTGCCCGATATTGATGCCAAAAATGGCCTGACTCACATCGACATGTAACCAAATTTTGTGACGTTCGCAGATATCAGCTATCTTGTCGATCGGATCCCATGCACCGTAGACGGTCGTGCCAGCTGTGCAGCACACGAACATTGGTGTCAGTCCTTAACGACCAACTTTATCGATTTGTTGATAATCAATAATCAACGCTTGAAATTATGCATTGATTGGATGGGTTATTTTGAATACCCATGATACTTAAAGGATGAATGCAAAAAAACCCACCGAGAGCCTAGTGGAAACTCCCAAATCGCGGTTGTTTTTTTTTGAGCGACCGTTCTATGAATCTTTTCACCTCTCAAGCCCCCTTTCCCCTACCTCTCGCTTCTTGAAGGTAGACCCAGGGATCAGTGCAGTGGAGTTCCACGTAGAGCGGGAA